CGGTGGCGCGGCAGACCCTACCACATCACCGGTCAGCGCCCTAGTCATTGCCACATCAGCCCTTTCGCCGCGCCACCATGCGGATGAGGTGTTAGTTTTGAAAAAAAAAAATAAAACAGTGTTAGATTTAAAATTAGTTTACAAAAAGTGTTAAAAAATTGCTCTGGATGAGGTATTCTGGGGAGAATGGCTCTCTCCCGGTAAGCTACGCCATGATGTTGGTGAACAAGAAGATGAGGTGGCATAGATCCTCCTGGGACGGTTGGGGTCCCAGAAAGAGGCCGAGCTGACACTCCAACCTTTCATAGTAGAAGTCGAGGAGCTGGCCGCTTCTGGGAGCGCCGGCCTCCGGCGTATGCAGCCGTAGCTCCTCGAACATCTCGGTGATCACGTCGAGGTCGGTGCAGTGGAAGGGTTGAACGATGATGGGTGCCCGCGCCAGCTCTCCCTCTACCATGACGATGAAGTCTAGTTCTCCGAAGCGCACGTGTGCGCCTAGGACCCAGCTGATGCCGTGGCTAGCCATCCGTTGCCTGATGTTAATGTCGGAATGCGCAAAGTCCCCTACCTAGCGCGCCAACTGGCGGTGTTTCGAGTAAACACCAACGAGTAAATTTATGTTATTGTGCGTCTGGCCCGATGGTGTGCTAAAAAGACACAAGGTTTATACTAGTTCGGGCAGAATGTCCATACGTCTAGTTCATGGCTGCTGCTCGTGTTATTATCACTAAAAAGTTTGTAGTAGGGGTTACAAAATAGGCGAGAGAGAGACAGGTCCTAAGTCTCTGATGGAAAGGTCAAATGGGCGCTGAGAGCTCAGTTGCAGCTCAGCTATGTGCTCGATGTTTGAGGCAAGTGGTTCTGCCATGATGTAGTGTGATGTGTGATGCGGTAAATCGATCGATCCCCTTAGTGGGGTGCCCTGCTTTCCCTTTTATAGGCCAAGGGAGAGCATGGATTACAGATGGGAGAAAAAAGGAAAACGAGATGTAAATGAAGTCCTTTAAGGACGCAGGGTCTTCCTTTTCCTCTGTGCGGGTCCCACTGACATGGCAGGCGGTGACAGGGATAGCCCCACGCCTGGCACATGTCTGTTGACCCTGATAGGGCCACGCTGGGCGTCTGTCCGCTGATGATGCCATGTCCTGGCATTGTCAGTGGATTGTCACGTCCCATCCCGTCCTAGCGGGCGGCGTGGCGGACCGTAGTGGTTGTCGCGAGCATCCATAAGGATCCATGCTCAAGGGCAAATGACGGTGCCCACAACACTGTAAGGCAAATGTCGGTGCCTATAACACTGTTTGGGCTCTGACATGCCTAGAAGGTTGCAAAGCACCCTTCTGGCATGGCCTGACGGTACTGTCCTACAGGTGTGCAGGGTACGGTCCTTGGTACTGTGATTGACTTGAGCGTCTCGCCTTATCTGCTACGCCTGATTTCTAGGTCGGTATTGTGGTAATGTCGTCATAGGCATCGAGCCTCAGATGTCGGGCGAGGCGGAGCTAGCCCTAAGGTTTGGGTGAGGCAGAGCCAGCCCTCAGACATCGAGCGAGGCGGAGCTAGCCCTCAGACATTGAGCAAGGCGGAGCTAGTCCTCGGGGGTCGGTCGAGATAGAGTCTGCCCTCAGACGTCGGGCAAGGTGGAGCCAGCCCTCAGACGTCGGGCGAGACAGAGCCCGGCAAGCGGCATAGTCACGCTCTTGATCGCGTGGATGAATCAATGTTGATAATCATTAGCCCCTCCTCTTTGGGTACCCTAGTATCGGTCCTCGACAGTAGCCCCCGAGCCCCTGGGTGATTTGAGTAGAATCGCCTAGGGGATTTTTTAACTTGCCAGCGGGTGCGCGCGAGCGCACTCGGTGGGTGTAGCCCCCGAGCCTGAGGAGGAGTAGAATACTCCTTCGAAGGTTTTTTCGAAAGAGAGGACTCTGATGGCCCTGTCCCTCTATTGTTGCTCACGACGTGTCCTGAAGATGGCGATTTCTTCTTGCCGAGGTTGAACCCTTCGTGGGTATGGTCATGAGATTTGGAGATTTTGTTAGCTGGATAGTTTGATTGGGGTCCCGACATCCTGTTCGTGGGGATCCGGCCAGGGTCAGCCTGGCTGACACTCAATCATGGGCCAAGATGCCCATGGCACTCGTGCGCCTAGGTGTCAGCCGCTTTGCGGGGCCCAGCCCTTTCCATCCTTTATTGTAGGGGTGCTTGGAGCGGCTGTTAGACACGTTGATGGGCCAATCGTCGAACTCCTAGGCCCAGATGGGCCGTAGATGTATTTTTTGATCCGTATTCCTCTTACTCGTAACGAGTCCTATTCCGTCTGGGAAGGCGAAACGTCCGGCGAGTCTTCCGAAGGAAAGGATAAGGATAGCGTGCGCATATCCCGCGGTGTGACGTTGTGACAGATCATGGCAGGCATAGAGATCTAGGTGGACGGTTGGTTTCCTCGCATCCATCGCCCCTATAAAACCAAAAGGTTCACCCCTAGGGTTTCATACTCTACCTCCTTGCCTTCGCATCTGCAACCTCTATCGCCAATCGCCTAGGTTTCCCGCATCCGTGTTTCAGCCGCCGTCAAGCTCGCATCCTCCCACCCCCATCTTCCAATGGAGCCGTGGTGCCGCTCTAACATCACCTCCCAACACTTGGAGGGCCTCATTCGCCGTGGTCTTCTCTGTGCGCGGACCGTGGCCGAGGAGTGGCTGCTGCCCGGTGAGGAGGATGTGCTATCGCCGCTCGACGGCTACGTCGTCTCGTTCGTGAGGAGGGTGGTGCCACTGATGAGGCACGCTCTTCCCCTGTACGCGATGGCGCCCGGGGCGTCATTCGATGGGACGGCGCTGGCCGAGGGGGCGCTCTCCCCCTCCGAAGTCACGTAGCGCATCAAGGAGGCGATGGAGCCTTCTCGGGATAGCACGGGCGCCCCCCTTGATTTTGTGTATCTGGTGTCGGGGCATCCCCCGATGCGGCCAGAACCTAGATACATCGTCCTTGTAAGTTTTCCCTTCCTCATGCCTTCTCTTCAATTGAACTCCCGACCCCTTGATACTTACATTGAGATTAGGGGACCAGCAGAGGGACCTCGTCCTTACAGATCTCCTGGCTCCGCTGCCGAGGGATCCGTCTGTGAGGGCAGTGAATCACGTCGAGGCCGAGCGGTAGAGGAAGGCGAAGGAGGATGAGAGGAAGAAGAGGCATCAGAAATTGCGGGCGTGGGAGCGAGGGGAGGATACTGACAGCGACGATGATGATGACGACGAAGACGACGATGAGGTAGTCGATGACACCGAGCATGGTGACCTGGGGAGCGAGGATGTGCTGATAGATGTCCGCTCGTTCTTGCAGGGGTCGAGGCCCTTCCCGTTCCATGGAGCGGAGGGCACATCTGAGAGGCCGACAGAGACGGGCCGGACCGTCGGCCTGCCCCAGGAACCAATAGGGGCGAGAGGGCCTACCGCCACGCCCGAGGTGCCAGTGGAGGAGGGTGGCTCCGCCGTCGCGCCCCAAGATGCAAGGGAGGTGAGCCCCTCTGCCCGGGAGCAGGGGGCAGGCTCGAAACGGCCCTGTCCTGACGAGGTGGAGTAGGGACCTGGGGGTTCGTCCCCCAAACATATCCACCGCCCAACAACGCCAATGTAAATCACCACCTCCTCTGTTTTTCTCTGTTTTCACCGTGACTCATGTTTTTCTTTCTCACAGCGTATTGAGGCGGCGCAATCTTTTGGCACTGGGGCAGCCATCGGTTGACGTCGCATCCATTTCGGGCGGGAGGGGTGCCGGTGCGACTGCGTCGTCAGCCGGGTCATGCCTTTTGACAAGGAGGGCAGGGGTTTAGCAGCCCATGGACTTCTTTGTTCTTTCCCTGGCTTTGACTCGCATACCAACTAAAATATCATGTACTCAGATCAGTATTAGAAAAACAATCACTAGTTCAAAATCATCATTACCGATTCCTGCCTCTGAAAAGGATCGCTAAGCAACCGATAAACATCTCAGCCTGTGTTAAACATGTCTCCTAAATTTGACAAATCATTTTCAGATCAGTGCTGACAACTGGACCAGGCATGTTACGTGGACCTGCTTGACCATTAGTGTTACTATGCATAGGAACAAATTTTCAAGCAAATCCACCAAACCAGCTTAGGACTGGGCATGTAGCATCAGTGCATTACTATGCCTATAGGGAGGAAAATTCAACAAAGTATATCAAACCACTGATAAATGTTATTCAATGGCAATGGCATTCATAGAGTCCATATGTTCATGGTTCAAAGGACAACCTTTAGGTAGTTCTTACAAGACTGCATTATTCACAACACAAAAGTAGATGGTGTCTAGAAATTTCTTTCAGAAATAGCACTGATCAGTTTCTACAGCTTCTCAGCGAACAATAACCAGGCAGGGAAGGTTTCAAGGCATAAGCATAAGATTACTTCCCATGACTGATAAACCAAGAGGAGGATATGTACAGTTAAGAGGATTGTTATCCATCCTTTCCTGAAAATGCATGACAGCATGACAGTAACTTGTGTGGCCTGTAACTGTATCGGCTGTGCAAATTCCTGAAGCGTCAACTTACCATTCTGAAACAAGCATCAATTCTATGGAAGTTTTTGGAGACCTGCACTCTACCAAACTGAAGTAACAACTCTCGGGCTTTAGTCATAGTCCTGCCTCTGCTTTGTCTCTGCTCTAGGCTTAGACCATCCTTTGTCAGTGCTTCCTGCGCTTCTGACCTATGGGGTCCAAGCTGCCATTCAACCCTAAATGCCTCATGAGCCATGGCATATTCTTCCTCCAGTCCCCAGAACCAATCTCTTGGAGCCTTACTGACAAATAGGCGCCAAAATTAGAAATTTCCAAAGGACGAAATCAGTGCGTATTTACTGAGTTCAAAGCTGGTCTCTTTGGTACAACTCATCTATCCATTTCAGCTTCTAAGTCAGGCTCTGAGGTTGTTTACAAATCTAAGTATGTTTCCACTTCATACATGGACAAACTCAAACTTGGAGCACCTGACAATGCATAATGTCTGTCTTCAGATTACGACCTGTGATGGTCGACCATAGGTTTGCCATGAAAGACCTGTGCTGCCCCTTTCGAGCAAAAGCCTCCCACATGCGCGCACTGTCAACCTCAGTTACTGTTGTTGGGTCTGATATATCAATAATAGTGATACTCATATTGTTACGGATGATGCATATCTTTCCATTAAGGGAGACAAAGGCTGCGGCTTCAAGAGACCGTGAGCTTCCCATATGGTGTCTGGTGTCAATGAACCTTGTCCATGATCCCATCTCTCTATTATAAACTCGAAGCTTACAGCCATCACGACAATCAGCAGAATAAAGACGCCCATCGAGGGAAATGCTTGGATTCCGCCAGCCCATGATCATTTCATTACCGGTGTCTGACCACATTTTAGATGCTGGAAGATAGACCTCACTCACAACCTGGCGATGAGAATTGAGACCTTTTAGGAACCACTTGCCATCATGTACTACTCCAATGGAGGGCACCATTCCTGTGCTCATTTCAGCAATGCTAGACCATCTATTCCTGTTCGGATCATATACCTCGGCAGACCTTAGAGTTCTCTGTATCCCTACACACTCCCCACCAGCAACATAAAGACAGTTGTTTATGACACAAGAACCAAAGAAGTGCCGTTTTTGCAGCATATCTGGAGCTCGAAGCCATTTGTTTATCCGAGCATTGTAAAATACAACACGCCTCATAGACCCATGTACTGGATCTTTGCCACCAAATAAGTACAGATAGCATCCGTTGAGAACAGCACTACCAAATCCAACAGCTTCAGAATACTCTGGTGGAACTGGAGGCAATGACTTCCAGAGCTGGTTTACAGGATCAAAGGCATACCAAGATAGCTTCTGATCACGGTCCCTTTTGAAGACGTAAATCCATTCTTCTGCCATGCCAAATTTCTTACGCAAGGAGTAATAATAATTTCCAGATAAAAGACGGTTCCACCGTTTACAGACTAACCGCATATTTGGGTGCTCGACCCGAGCAGCCCGCATGAGACAGGAAATAGCCAGTTCATCAGGAAGCCCAGGCAGCAGTGGTGACTGAGTTTGAGACCTCTCCTTGCGTGAGCTCCTTGATTTGCGCTTGTTTGGTATGATATCAGGTTGCATGCACAGCTTTGCACCAGGGACAAACTTCCTAGCACTTACAACTGTTTTAAGACCTCCATCCACCCTGCAATAGCAGGAGACAGACTCTACCTGCAGAAACATTGATCAATCAAGTTAGAACGCTTATATTGACCTGAACATGAAAAGGAGATTAAATCAAAGCAACCATACTTTTTGCTGGGGTATGAAATTAATGAATTTTTGTCCACCTACTAGTAAAATGTTATGCAGATGAGATTCAGACAATTAGTGCTGGAAGACTAACCATGTTTGAAACTATCTATCTTGGGAGTTTCAACATACAAAATCGAGGGAACTTTTTGATAACTGTAAGTTGATTTAGTAGTTCAAAATCTGGGTATATCCTTACTCCACTGAACTCCTCATAAAGAAAAAAAAAACTGTGCTTCTACAGATATAAAACTAACACTCAAATTAAAACTTTAAAAGTACAGCAGATCTGAAATTAGACTAGGGTTTGTTTTGCTTTCAATCCCATTTGACAAAATTATACAGTAAAATTTGCTAAGTACCGCTCCATCCTCATTAACAGATGCATCAAATATTCCTAGGCACATAACATTTTCATGTGAAAACAGATGGAGCTGTGCTAACTGCTGAGTGGTGCTCACATACTGATATCGAATTCCAACGTATTAAATTAGCTGCAAATTACAAAAGTAGCACCTCTAGAAACAACATCTCTATGAATGAGGGGTGATCTAACCAACTCCATGACAAGTTTGAACCCAAACTCCAGAAACAAACCCTGAGGACCAAGATCCAAACTCAAATCACAGAAACTCAACTGCTAAAAGCGAAATGCTAGATTGAGAGGAATATTATAACTCTGAGTCAAGGGTACGGCCTCCTGAAACAATAACCCTGACTACAGGCCTAAAAACATCGCATTGAGGGAAAACAAGAGCAACCCTTGAGGCTAGAGAAGTAGAGATGCAAGCAAATCTCACTAGTGATCGAAGGACATGAGTTCCGTTGGTGAATGCCTTTGATCTGTGAGCTAAGTCAATCTCAAGATTGAGTAAAACTGCAAGGAATCACAAAGTTTGCCTAAAAAAACAGAGATCTCCCCTTGGCCCTCTCTTGCTAGCAGAAACAAAAAATAGATACAGGAGATATAGGATTTATCCTCCTGCATCCAATGTGCCATGATTCATTTTCCATGTTTAGTTCTGATGGCATTAAGTAAAAAATCAATTCGTCCAAGCCTCTGACGGTCATTTTTTCATCTATATCTATTATCATTTAATACATGAACATTTGGATGCTTTACTCTAGAGTTTTCAAAACATATGTAAAAAGGTTAAGAGGATCAATAGTGCAACTAAGTACCCCAACAATTTTTACCAACATCAAGGCTACTGGAATTCCAGACACCTAATAATCTCCATTTTGATGCCCCTTATGTTTCCATCAACAGTTATGCTTATGCGTGCTAATTATGTACTAGCATTGTTATATTAGTGTTACCAGTTAAGGTAATGTGGTTAAATAAGGTGTTTATACAAAATATAATGCTGTAATGATTAGCCATTCTATAATTTCAATCGCATATGAAATGTCTTTTGTTATAATTTATTACTCATTCCATATGATTGACATATTCTTTGATAGTATGTCTTCTATCTGTGCCTCATGAGCAGTCTAGAGTATAGAGAGGGCAATGAGACTGTCTTAGCTAGTAGCTCGATTTTTTCTAAGTTCAGTCCATTGTTACTATACTGAGGATGACTTCGTGGCAAGTGGGGCCAATAATAAAAATGCAGTAGATTTCTGGTGCTACTCATTCCCTGTAACATTGTTCCTCACTAACACACCGCAGCTAACATTACTCAAGGCAAAAACAGCTAGCAAACTAACCCCTAGAAGACTACTAGTACTACGCCAGAAAATATTACCAAACACTCCATGGATAACTGGATCTAGACTCCAAAACCAAGCCCTAAGGACCCAGATCGAGACATCCAAGTTCCAACCATCCCCAAAGCCTGCAATCCTCCAAGCCTTACGCACGAAAACGCCAGATTCAAAAAGTAAGGTCTCGGCCTCAAGCGAAAGGTGGCGCCTTTGGCACAAGAACCACCATCTCTGAGCTAACCTACATCTCTCGCAGCTAGGACCTAGGAAGCGCGCGTACTACTCGAGGCCAAGAAAGGTGGGAGTGGAGCTGAGCTCACCAGTGGGGCACGGACGCGGATACCCCCCGCACGCCGCTGCGGGGCACCTCCGGCGGCTGCACGCATTGCCGGATCGAGAAGAGTGGACGAGGAACACCCTTGAGCTTGGCCCTCCTCTCCAGTCTCCACAAAGACTTTCCCCCTCTTAAACCAAAACCCAACGAGCGAGGAGCACAGGAGGCTCCCCTTCAACCGAGCAGTAGCTTTGACTGGAAAATCACGGTCTCAGATGCATTCTCCCCAGATCAGGCGACTAGGGATTGGTTCGCAATCGCAAGCTCAATTTGGTCGGCTGATGAACTTCACCTCCGACTCGTGGGCCCGTTACCGGAGTCCTCCTGGCACTGGATGTGACTGGAAGATGGGCCCCTTGCAAGCTGGGACCAGCGAGCCAGTGAACCATCCCAACTATACACGCAGCAATGGCCTGACAGATGGGTCCCTGTGGGCCGTGAGTGAGCTTCCTCTTTCGGTCCTCGCTCCACGTTGCCTGACGCCCACAATGTTCTGAACTACTGACAGAATGGACCCACACACCGACCAACCTGTCAGCCACGGACGTGTAGTCGTTTCCCAGCCACTTGCCACAGCGCACGCGGCATGGAGAGGCGGGCCCATGTGTGGAGCACGGAGGCCCACCTGGCAGCGGCCTTCCCGAAAAATCTCTCCGGGATTTTTTACTTTTTCCCATCCGACGACACTCGTCAGTTTACCACTTTTATACACTCCTACGCAACCGTAACATCCTCGGTGCTACGAGTTTATTTAGCATCGTGATTTAGGTCTAAGAAAAAAAAAATTATAACGAGTTTTTCGGATTTTTGATTTAAAATATACTTGATGTGATGAGTGAATCATGGGTGACTTACTTTGGTGGACTCAAATAAACGTCCAAGTCGTAAAGATATTTAGGAATGTCTGACAATAATTCTAGCTGATAGATAGCGAACGGTGTGTTCTATTAGATTAAGCATGGAAAGCGATTTTTTTAAATAAAATAAAATCCATTAATAAATAGAACGATATAATATATACTCACGGGTTTATTTTGATAAGCACGAAGTGACGAGAGAGAGAGCACAGCAGCTTCGTTTATTTTTCCTGGCGTACAGCGTACTCGTTGCATGGCAATTATTCACCGTCTCATTCTTGTCGTGGCTCTGTATTTTTCTGCATTGCAAAGCCTCCCATCCAATCGCATCTGAACTGGTCCACTGCGCTAGGCGTCCGAAATTGATGCACGTGGTTCTGCCCCTGCCCACGCCATGTCCTCTCTCCCCCATGCACCGCCGAGTAACCACCGTCTCTCTCTGTCTCACTGCCAGTTCCGTCGCGTCATCTCTGCGGCACCATGCGTGCCTCTGTTGCCTGTGCCTGCCTTGTTCTCTCTGCTGTCGCAGTTTGCTGTCTGCCCTGCGTTCGCGTGTTAAGGCCAAGCCGAGCCAGACCGGCTTCTCACTCCCTTCCCTGCTCGCCTCCCTCTGCTTGCCTTGTGTCGTCATCGCCGTGACCGAATCCGTGGAGGAGTGTTGCTTCCACTCCGCAGCGCTGCCCTCCTTTTTCCTCTCAGCGCCGCTCCTCCCGTGGCCGCCGCACTGCCTTCCCTTTTCCCCCACGGTGGGCACGCCCGCTGTCAGGGCTCACCGCGAGCGCGCGTAAGTCCTCGCAGCCGTGCCTCGCCAGCCGGTTCGTCCACGCCCCGCCGTGGCCGACCCTCTCTTCCAGCCGGGTCTGGCACGCCGCCTCCCTCCTCCTGCTGCTGACCACAGTTGCGCGCCGCACCACCGCCGTTTGTCGTGCCTCACGCCCGCACCATCGCTCTGCTCTTCCCTTCTGGCTGTTGCTCGTCGGGCCACCCATCACCGGCTTTCCCCTTCTCACGATCGTGCCCGAGTCCACAGTGCACTGCCGCCCGCCCGACATCTCTCCCCTTTCTCCCTCACGGGCGCGTGCGTACCCTAACCCTACGCGGACCTATTTCTCCTCGACGCGCCCCGTGCGCCGGCGCCCCTGCCGCTTCCCTTTCCGCACCGCAACAGTTGTGGTGCACCGTTGTGGCTCGTCCGTCGCGTCTGCGAATGAGCACGCGCTGGCCCCCACGGCCACGTTGGACCGTCGCCTTGGCGCTACCCCTCCCAAGCCCCGCACCGTGTCCCCATCCTCGCCGTATCCGCATCGCCGAGAGCCGTCGTGGCCCCTGCATAGGTCGTCGCCGTGCTGCGCCTGTGGCCGGGCAGCTACGCCCTATCCCGGCATGTGCGGGGTCTAGCCGGGGGTGCGCTGGGTCTGCCCGATGCCTATGGGTCTACCCTCGCCAGCCACTGTGCCACCGCCTGCTGCCTGTCGCCGGCGAGACAGCCGCCGCCGTCGCCTCGCGGTTGTCCGTGTGCGCGCATGGCAGGTGCTTCACCAAACCCGCATGGCCGTGTTGTTGCCGTCCTCGGGTCCGGTCGGAGTCACTGTTGCTCCCACGCGTCGCCCCACGACAGCACCGTCGTCGGCAAGCCGCTTCCTTGGCCGGCGAATGGCCTCCCCTGCCGGTGCTCTGTTTTGTGGGAGGAGCCGAGGTGAGAAATCGAAGTAGAAGATTTATTTGGTGTTCTCAACGTAATAAGCGTGACTCACATGAACAGTAGGTGTTGTACTGCGGGTTGATTTAAGGAAAGTACAGGGGCCGCTATGCAAATGTGCCGCGCCACCTACCCGCCTGGGCCAACTGGCTGGCTAGCGCTCGCCGCACCATTGGGCCGCGGTCTGGGCCGTCGGCCACGTGCCCGCTTGGGGCGGTTCGGTGCCGCACGCGTCTGGGCCGCGCGTCAGCGTTGGACTGCTAGGCCGACGGGGTTGCCTCCGGCCCTTTCCGTTATTTAAATACTTTTCTAATATAGGTTTCTAGTTAAATTATAAAATCAATATAAAATGGTATAGAAATCCAAAAATCGTGAAACCAGTTTTGTTGAGTTCCTAAAATTATGATCCATCCAATAGTGTATTTTGTTCACAAACTTTGATAATAGTCTTGGAAGCTATATAATTAATTTAAGGTACTTAATATTATAAAAATATAAATTTATAGGAATTGTTGTGATAAATCGGTGATAGTGTTGACTCTAAAAAATTTACAGTAAATTACTAATATTGTTAGCTACTCACTGTAAATTTTATAGCTCCAGAATAATTAGTTTGCTAGGTAGATAATGATGCCCTAGTTCGAATAATGAGTTAATCGATAGAATGAAATAAAGAAACACCTTGGAATTGTATAACTAAAACATTTGTTGGGAAGTAACGCCTTATTCGACAACATGGATATGTAGCCTAAGTACGGTCGTCGTTAGAATTAGCTCGTTAACTTGAAAGGCGTAAATCGTATTTTTTGAGTCACGATTGCATTCGATTAATTACGTCTTTGCATTGCATCGCATTGTATATCATATAGGTACGATGAAGGATCAAGTGAAGGATGAGTGGGAATCTGCAGATGGTATGAAGATATTCTCTCTATGAGATGATGCGATAGGCTTTCTATTCAGATGATCTGAAGATGCAAATACTAACTTTTGGTTATATTTTACCCAGACAAGTTCCGGTGCATAACCCCTACTTTTCTGTAGTTTAAATTATATTTATGCATTAAGTTTTAAGGAATTGATTGAAACTCACTTGCATATATATATATATATCTTTATCATATGAGTCTTACTAGTATGACAGAATCGTGTAGAATGCTATGCTACAGGACTCCGATAGAAGTCGAGTGATTGTCTGTCACTCGTGAGATATAGGAAATATATCACCGAATTATTATCACTTAGAAAATATAAATGGTGGAAAGGGAAAACGGTGACCAGGCAGGAATATGGTTTGGGTATTGGTGGATGTAAGAGGTTGTGTCACCACAGACGTGGGGCATAGCTTGGTTACACTGCTTTCTCTGTCTATGTTGGTTAAGGATTGGTCGTTGCATAAGTCTCGAGTCAAGTCACAGATTTATTATCACGAGCACATACTTGTGTATGAACGTTTGGAAGACTTGTTGCTCTCTTATCATGGATCCGACTCTTTCCGGACCGACTGTCAAGGTGGTTTTTGGGTTATGAGGTCCTTGCACCGCACCGAGTCCGAGACTCAGGGTCGGGGGCTTGGAGTCACAGTTTGGATGGGGACCTAGACACCCAGGACAGGAGGGTGATGGGTTGGTCCGGCTTGTGCCTGGGGTACAAGCGGGGCGTGTGTTTTCAGGGTACCCAGCTGGGGGCATTGATTCACGAATCGTCGACGCGATCCGATACGGCTTGTTTTGGGTCTAGCACCGTAGTAAGAACTGAAGGATGAAAGAAAGAAAAAGGAATTTTGATTGCTTACCTCCTGCTTGAAAGTAGCAAATATGCTTACATAGAATGGTTGGTTAATGAACTAATACGGCTGTTAATGAAAATCGAATATAAAGACGCACTTTTAGTAATGCTCCTGCAGATGCAATAAACCCACAAGCCAGATAGCCTTATATATTCTTAGAGTCTTTTCTTTCCTCCTGTCGGGTAAGTCTTGCTGAGTATAATTGAGTATTTAGGGTTTTATATCTCACTGTTGCAGGTGATAGGTGGATGCTAAAGCTGACCTTTGTGTGTGGATTTCTCCTGGTAGGCTCAGAGAGGATTTTCTTTACACTGCGATCGTAGTTTTTATTTATAACTCTCACTAAATATTTTTATAAATGAAAGTTTATAATCCGTTGTCCTAATTTATTTATCAATGCTTCATCATGTCATAAACAGATGTTTAATCCCGTTGTAACTCTGTTCATATGTTTATATTCCGCTGTTTAATTAAACTGTTCATAACTCTGATAACATGTTCATGTTACACTATTATAAATAATAAATATTATACTCTGATGTTGTATTAAAAGTGATGTAAGAAATGGTTAAGAATGATGTAAGCTTTATTCTCTCATTTGTGATTCTGTTGAAAAAATATGGATTATTGGGTTCTCCCTTAGGGTGTGCCCGATGGGACCGTGTGATTTAGTGTTCTCCTTTGAGTGCTTAGTACCTAATGAAAGA